GTCTAAGCTCTTAGTTGTTGTACCACACGGGCTCCTGTTCACCTGAGAATCCACTTCCCAGTAACCCACAAAACCAGTTCTAACCCCACACTAACCTTAGGAATTTCGCGGGCTGGTCTGGGGAGGACAGGGAGGTGCGGAGGTGGAGGAGCAGAAGACAGACCAGTTCAAGGAGCCCTGTCTTCAGGGACACACTGATGCCACTTGAGTACAAAACCTGAGATGTTCCGACCCTCACTCCCTGGGGCAGCCGAGACCTCCTGCAGGCCAACCCCAGCCTCTGCTGCAGGGACACAAGAACAAGGATACCAGACAATGACAATAGTGGCTCACATTTATTGAGCGCTTCCTGCTCTGCGCTGAGGGCTGCATACACAGTCTCTGATTTAACTCTCACGAAAACACTTCAAGGGAGATGTCACTATTCCCCTTTCAGGGATGAGAGAACTGAAGTCTGAAGAGCAGACAAGCTATGGCAAGCAAGAGGCAGAGCCAGAGCCCCGCTTTAACTGCTCACTGGGCTCCTTCCAGATGGGAGCCATCCATCCGGGCGTTGGCATGACAACCAGAAAAGTTTAGACACCTTCCCAAATATCCCAGCTTTCCTCCACAGCCCAGTATCCATGACCTTAAAAGGTATTACAAAAAGGGATCTTCGCCACAAAATCAGAAGACAGAACTCTTAGTTCCCTGTCGACCACTTAGTGGCTATGGGAACCTCTTTGTCTCTTTCCAGGCCTTGGTTTCCCCATCTGGTCAGTGAAGGGACTGGACTGTTTCCTAAGGGCCTGAATGGGTCTGGAGCAATGACACTGTCCAATAAAAATATAATGTGAGTCACACATGAGTGTGTGACCCATTCAATTTTTTAGTAGCCACATTCAAAAGGTAAAAAAAAAAAAAAAAAAAAAAAAAAAGGATTTGATCTAACCCAATATATTTAAAATATAATCATTTCAACATGTAATCAATATAAAAAGTTATCAATGGGTTACTTTACATTCTTTTCTTACTAAGTGTTTGGAATTCATTGTCTGTTTCGCATTTAAAGCACATTTCAATTCAAATTGGTCACATTTCAAGAGCTCAACTGCCACATAGGGCTAGCGGTTACCATACCGGACAGGGCAGGCCTAGAATCTTTTTCAAGCCATAGCCAATTTTAGGGGGAAGAGAGGTGCCAGGTTTCTCCCTTCCCTCTGGGAAAGCTGTCCTGACCCTGGATTCAGAGCTGACAAGTCCCAGCCAGACCTGGGGCAAGGAGCCTGAGGTCACAACAGAGAGAGACCCCGGGCCTGCCTGGGCCCAGGCGGCTGGCAGCTGCAGGGTAAGCTTCCTGTTCCTGTGGCCCGGTTCCTCACCAAAGCCCCCAGGAGGGAGACAACCTTGCTTTTCTGCTCAAACCAAAGATTCCCTTAATTGGAAAGTCAGTCTGAGCTTAAAACGCACCAGCAGCTGCCCTGCGGGTGCACAGGACACGCTCCTCACACAAGAGGAACCCACGTGTCCCCTGCCCCTCCAGGCAGCACCGTATGGAGGGGGCTGAACACCACCTCCTCTCCCTGGAGGCCTGGTTCCCAGCTTGGGCCTGTCAGCCTTCTCAGAAGGAGCTCAACACCTTCACATTCAAGGGCAGGCGGGCAGGGGAAACAAAGGGGCAGAGAGGGGCCAGATCGTGCCCCCCACAGGTGAGAGCTTGGGGAAACCCCTCCTTGTCCCCAAGCTTCCATTTCCTCACCTTTAAAATCAAACACGTTAGATGATGACAGTGACTGCTTTTACGGCCAGCCGCTCTGTGCCAGGCATTTCACAGGCATTAGCTCATCCACGCCTCAAAGAGCACTAGGAGGAGAGAGACTCCAGGGCTCAGAGTGGTGAAGCCACTTGGGCAAGGTCACACAGCTCTTCAGCAGAAGGGCCAGAATTGCAGCGTATGGTCGTTCGAATCAAGAGCCTATGCTCTTAGCTGGCCTGAGCCCTGCTGTGTCCTGGGGTAGCCCAGGACAGTCCTTGCTTACGCCTGTCATAACTATACACACCTAGTGTAATAATTTTAGATGCCCCATGTGGAGGAAGGGACAAATATTCCTTACAGAAGAATTCCAAATGATATATACTGATACTCCTCCCTATAGAGCTAACTCCAGAACCTTCTCCTTGAGTATGGGTTGAATGTAATGTATTCCAAATAACAGAGTATGGAAAGCAGGGAATGGTAACTTACAACTGAGAAACCTGGCAGACACCACCTTAACCAAGTGACCAAAGTTAACATCTTCTGTGATAAGTCACGTCGCGGTCATGTGCTCCTGTTATGATGCGACAAGAAGGGCGCTTTACTCTGTGGTCTTCTTCCCCAAAACCTAAAGCCTCAGTCTAATTATGAGAAGCGCATCAAACAATCCAAAATGAAGGACAGATACCTCAAAACACCTGACCAGTATTCCTCAAAGCTATCAAGCTCATGAAAAACAAGAGACTGAAAAACTGTCACGGATCAGGGGCCACTAGGAAGACTTGACAACTAAATGCAATATGGGCTCCTGGAACAGCAAAAGGACGATGGTGGAAACACTAGTGAAAAGTCAAACAAAGTCTGAAGTTCAGTTAATGGTAACATACAAATTGGCTTTGACAAATCTATTACGGTCATATAAGAAGTTAACATTAGGGGAAAATGGACAGAAGGTATGTGGGAACTTTCTGTACAATCTTTGCAACTTTTTTGTAAATCTAAAATCATTCCCAAATGTAAGTTTTATTTTTAAAAAGTGTCCCCTTTAACTCATAGCAGTGTCCAGCTTTGGAAAACAAATTATATGATCACCTGTTCATACAGCTGGCCCTGCCCCTAACCAAGAAGTGTTAAGAAAATGACCCATACCTTCTTTCCGTCTTAGTGATACTACGTGCTCACACATTCACAGCAATTTAACATTTACAAAGTTTAGAGATACCAAGATGTGCTGGTTAGAGCTTTGAAATCAGACAGCTTGGGGTTGAAGTCCTGGTTCCCCCACTTGCTTGCCAGGTGGTCCTGGGCCTATTACATTCTTTTTCTGGGTCTGTTTCCACATCTGTCCAATGAATTCATCGAATGACAACCATGACAAATAAAGCTTATTGAGCCTTCACTAGGTGTCTAGCACTGTAGCGGATACTGTCATGTGCCACCCAGTTTCCCATTCAGGACTTATTTCTGCACCCTCCCCCCCGCCCCAGCTGTTCAGAGTGCTGCCGGCTGTCAGCCCTGTCCAGGGATCGCTCTTAGCTGAAGAGAACCATCCAGCCCCGGGTCACACCCCTTTCCGGAGGGCAGCCTGCATCCAGCCAAGCGGATATAAAGATCCAGCTCCCTTCACCCCAGTTTGGGACAACTCTGAAGATCCTCTCCACTGCAGCACGCCCCTGTGGTTGGCAAAGGCCTTTGTGGAGACCAGCCCAACTCCCTCCGCCCAATCCTGCCGCCTCCCCCTCCCCACCGGTGTTAATCCTTAGAGCGCTCCCCAGAAACTCCCCGCACGCTAATCTCCATCTCCCAGCCAGCTTCCCAGGGAGCTCATCCCACAACCGGACTGTGAACCAACCACTGGGCCTGCACCCATCTTTTTCAACCCTCAGGCGCACCCCATTTTAATAGATGACACCACTGAGGCTGAAGAAGAAAAACGATTTGGCCAAGGAGACACAACTATGAAGCGGTGGTGCCACGGAGGGGGAAACTGAGGCTCAGACAGGCAAACTGATTTGCCAGGTCTCTGAGCTAAAAGATGGTAGAGCCAAGATGACAACCTAGGTCTGCTCAACTCTGAAGACCACGGTGCCACAGCCTCCAGCCCAAGTCATTTAGAGCCACCAGCAGGGTTGCTACAGGTGACAGACAGGTGGGCACCTTTACCACTGTCCTGACACACCCCCAGCTGTCCCTGCAGCTCACTCCACGTCGGCAAACAGGAAATAATAACAGTACCTACCTCGTCAAGATCTTTTAAAGACAGAATGAGTTTATGTACATAAAGGCCTCAGAATGACGACTGGCACATAAGGACTCCTCTGTAAGTGGTAGGTTAAAAAAGTCACATAAGCAGCATCAAGCTGCTGTGAGATATTCTAAGATGCCCGTGTGGCTGGGTGACAGTTGGCCTGCGACAGGGGGCCGGGCCCTGTCGGATCTCTAAGTGGTCCAGGCTTGGCCTGAGCTCTGAAGGGGAAGCAGGAAATAAGGACCGGAAAGTAGAGGAAAGTAGAGCTGTTCAGGCAGAGGGAGAGCAGGGACCCAAGCCCTCCGGCAGGAGAGCTAAAGACGATTGATAAAAGGCTGGCGTGACTAGCCCAGAGGAAAAATCCAGGTCCGGGCCAAGAATGGTAGAAAATGAGGGGGTTGGGTGGCTGGATGTGTGGGTGATTGGATGGTTGGGTAGGTCAAGGGATGGAAATGTGGATGGATGCGGCTGGACAAAGAAATAATTGAGTGGACAGGTCATGGGTCAGATGGATGTTAGGCGGAGTCGGATAAAGGGGCTGAGTGAATGGAGGAGCTGTTCAGGCGTGTAGTAGGGAAGAGAGGTGAACAGAGGGGTTGGATGAATAGATGGATGACTGTGTGGCTGGATGGGTTGCTGGGTGATCGAATGGGTGGCTGGGTGGATGGATAGGTGACTGGACGGTTGAATGGATAAACAGAAAGTGGAGAGGGTGGGTGGGTAGGGTGAATCGTTTGGTGAAGAGTTGGTTGCTCAAGTGGATATCAGAAAGTTCGGGTGAAGGGAAGGATTAAGTGCGTGGAGGGGCTGGTAAATGGGTGGATGGATTAACGGATGGAGAACAGGTGACACCACATCCTGATACGCCTCCAATTAACTCTCTAAAGGTCATGGAGGAAGCCCTGGAGGTAAAAGACGCAGAAAGAGGCTTCGAGACAGGGCAACTTCGGCGGCCGGGTCCCAGGACCCCTTTCCTCAGTGGGGCCTATCCCATCTGTGCCCAGCCCAGGGTCCTACCTGGAGGCGGCGATCTCGGCCTTCTGGCGCGCTATGGCGGCGGCGCGCTGGGCGCCCTCCATACTGTGCTCCACCTTCTGTCGGACCTTGTTGCTCTTGAGTGGCAGCACGCGGCGCTTGGTACCTTTGACCAGCACGTTGTGGCGGTACTTGCCCTCCTCGCGGCGGCCGTCGGGCAGTGTGGTGCAGCCGTAGCCGTGGCGCAGGTTGTCCAGCCACTCGCCCTCGTACCGGAGGCCGCTGGAGCGCTCGCTGACGCCGAAGCCCGAGCGCTTGTCGTTCTTCCACTCGCCCATGTAGGTCTCCGTGGTGGTGGCATCGATGTCAGCTTCGAAGGGCGCGGCCTCGTCGGCGCCCTCCGCGCCCTCGCCCAGGCTGGCGGTGGAAGCGGCGTCGCTGGCGCCCGAGCTGAGGTCGCTCTTGAGGAAGCTGACGCGGCTGCGCTGGCTGCCCAGGGACGTGCGGGACTCGGCCCGCCGCAGCTTGCCCAGCAGCGCGCCCCGCTGGAACAGGCCGCCGCCCTTGGACGCCCGCGCGGCCACCTCGGCGTTGGCCAGCAGGCTGAGCGCGAAGCCGCCGCGCGGGATGGCAGGCGAGGGCAGCGGCGGGCCGTCCGAGGCTGGCGAGGTGGGCGAGTCTGGGGCCAGCGTGCCGTTGCTGTGCTCGCTCCGCAGGGACGAGAGCGACGTGCGCAGCGGTGAGCGCACCACCACGGCCATCCCGTAGGGCACACTCTGGCGTACACCGTAGCCGTGGCGCATGCCGTTGGTGAACTGGCCTTGGTAAGTCCCTGCGGGCGAGGAGAGGGTGTGTCAGTGGGCAGTACGATGGGGCCCATGCGTGTGCACAGCGACTTGGGTGTGCCAGGGCTGGACTGGGCAAGGCCACCCGAGGGGCCAGGAGTTTGAAGGTATGAAAACAGGCGAGGCTCTGAGGGTGTGAGGTTATGTGAGTGTGCAAGAACATGGTTAGATGAGCCACAAGGAGTTTGTGCAGTGGTGTGAATATTTCCATTGGTTGGAACATGGCGAGGTCACAAGTGTGCAAGACAGTGAGGTCATGTGAGTCAGAGCGTCAATGTATAAAGTTGTGTAAGCAGGTGAGGCCCTGGGAGTGTGTGAGGTTAAACAAGTGCACTAGGGTACAAACGTCCAACTCAGAAGGGGTTTGCATGATGGTGTGAATAGTTCTGTCAGTGAGAACATGCTGAGGTCTTTAGTGTGCAAAATAGGACAAGGCTGAGGTTGTTGGTCAATTTTAATTGTAAAGTTATATGAGCAGTGAGGCTCTGTGAGTGTGAATTTAAATGTGTGCACAAATTTGAAATCACACAAGAGAGAATGAAGGTGCAAACTTTAGTAGGCAGTATATCGAGTTTGTACAGTAATGAGAATATTTGCATGGGGGGGGAGTGCTAAGTAGTGGGAGCATGAAAAATCATGGCTATGCCAGGTGGTGTGTGCACAGAAGATGACCAAGATTATGTGTGCATGTCATAATGACATAACATAAGCTTATGAGAACATTAGAGGTCTTGCAGCTGCAAGGAAAGGCAAAGTTAAGTGAGGGTGCAAGACCGTTAGAGGGTCCAAGTGCAAAGTTGTGTAGCAGGCAAGCTTGTCAGTGTGTTAGGTTAAACGCGTGCGCATTGTCATCCTTGTGTGCAAAGTGATATGAATGTCCAAGCTCATGACTGAGTAAGACAGTGAGTTTGCACAGTTGTGTGCATGTTGGAAAGCATGGGACTGTGTTGGAGAGCATGGGAGAGTGTGTATTTATGCAAGGCCACGTGTATAGGAAGATTTTTATGGGCATGCATGTCAGTGTCTTTTGACTATATGAGATCATGAGTGTGCAGTGCAGTGTGTCTACAGGGGGGTGAGTAGCCAAGGTCGCATAGGGATGGCATGATGGGTGTGTGAGAGGTTCGGAATGGTCAAGCCATCTGAGTACAAAGCCCAATGTGAGGAGACATTCTAAGGATAAGTGAGTGTGTGAGGTTGTGGGCATTAGTGAACGGAGACCACGTAAGACCCTGTGTACGCAGGATAGTGGCGTGTACAAGGAGGCCCTGTGTGTCCATGGGTGAGCTCATGAGCTCCTGGGCACAGGAGGGGGCACAGAGCAGTAGTTAGGGCCACAGACACCAGAAGCCAGACTGCTGGGTCCAAATCCTGCCTCTGCCATTACCAGCAGTGTAACCTTTGGCAAGTGACAACCTCCCTGTGCCTCAGCTTCCTCATCTGTCACAGACAGTAACTGCCTCTGACCTCATGGGGATGTCTGAGGTTTAAATGAGCTAAGATCTCTGAAAAACTCCGAAAGAAAAAGATACGTGTGTAATAATGTGATTCTACAAAGTCGTGCTAGTCTGTGAGGTCACCTGAATTGTATGAACAAGTTGACACAAAGCTGACAAAATATCTTCATACTCCTTCCCCATCCCAATGTGCTGTGCTCCCCGGGGCTCTGTCCAAAACCTTCTCCCCATCCTCCCTGGGTGATTGAATTATTTGGTTTATGTAACTGTCACCTATATCCAGCTGGCTCCGCCCGCCCCAGACACATACACAAATATGTCCTCAAGCCCTTCCCCTCCCCTCTATGTAGCTCCACCTGTCGGCTTGGAGGTGGGTGCCCCCCCAGGGGTTACACAGCCATTGCCAACCCATCATCTCCCCTCACCCCACAGACCACTTCCACCTTCTCGGTCTTTCTCTCCCCAGCGGCACCACTGAAGGCCAGCTCTCTGCCTTCATCCTCAGGCCTCCAGGATATAGAACAGTACCTGACCCAGTGTTCACTGAATTGAGTGTGGAGAGGGATTCAGAGCCTTTGTTTTAAACACATGCCAGTTACCCAGAAAATCCCAAGTGGCCTTCTCCTCAGTGAATCCCTCTGCCCTGGATGGAACGGAGCCAGCCAGGTAGGGGACTCGTAAGGTCAGCCAGCCAGGTATGCTCCCACTGGGGCCTTTGCACGGGCTGTTGCCTCGGCCTGGGTCCGTTTTCCTCCAGATAACCGTCAAGTCTTTGCTCAGTGGGCCCTGTCCTGACCACCCTGTTTAAAACTGCAACCTGCCAGCACTGCCCCCTAAACACCCAGGCACCCCCAGTTTATTTTTACTTGTTTTCTATAGCATTTATCACCTTCTGTATTTATTGCTTTTCTCTTCCTGCTGGAATGGAAGCTCCGAGAGGGCAGGGACCTCTCCTGTTTTGTTCCCCGATGTCTCCCCAGCACTTTGTGCCTGGCACAGGCTGGTGCTCCACAGATATTTGCTGATTGATTGGCTGAACCCGTCCAGAAATTCCGCCTCCTTCTGTGACCCTGAGCAACTCTCTTCCCTTTTTCAGGTCTCCATGGCCCTCTTGGTCAATGACATGCTGGACCTGAAGCTCACTGAGATTTGAGATTGTAGGACTTCTAGAAATGGGGGCCCTGTGACCCTGGAGGGAAAGGACAGTGCATCCACTTGACTCCACACTTCCTGGTCCCTTCCGGGCTGTTCCAGCCCAGGCCCCCATTCCTACCTCGCCCCGGCCTTTCGCCACGAACAGCCCCATCGAGGACCACGCACAGTGTCAAGCACTCACGTAAACCTTTCAGTGGTCCTGTGAGGCGGGTCCCATGATGATGCCCATTTGCAGGAGAGGAGGTTGGTGGTCTGTGAGCTAAGAGAGCAGGATTCAAACCCAAGTCTTTCTGACACCTGGAGCTCATGCTGTGAGCCCATGGTGCTCAATCCTGACCGCCACTTTAGAAGCTCTGAAAATGAAGTACAGATTCCCTAGGCCTCACCACCAGAAATTCTGCTTTAATTTGTTGGAGGAGCGGGGAGCCTCTGGTGCTCTCTATACAGCAGGCAGGAGCAGCTGTGGGCAAGAGCTCAAAACTCACATCCATGTCTAGCTGTGTGCCTTCCACTTGTCTCAGCAGAAAGAAAAGAAAATGGACCAACTGCAATCTTGATGCTAGGTGCTGGCGCGTCAGTGGCAGACGAATAGACAAGGTCCCTGCCTTCAGAGGCTGGGATTCTAGTGCCAGGGATAAACTAGATTTAGTCAACCATCACAACAAAAATAGAGCAGAGAAGCAGTTTTGCGAAATTAAATCAACCCTCCTACCGTTAGCTCAGATTTGGTGTGAGATGGGCTGACATGGCCCCCTTAAGCCGAGGAGAAACTGAAATGGCCACAGAGAGCCACTCTTGGCCACCAGCTGGGGAGGAAACAGCCGGCTATAGTGGGAAACTTACAAGCAAGTGGCAAGAGGCACAGACACCCAGGGGAGGCTGGGAGCAACGGGGCTCTGGGAAAGGGGAAAGGCTAAGCGCTGGGGTCATCCCCAGCCGGACTCTCTCTAAGACAGGACAGTGCTCTCTGGGGACAGGAGGAACGCATTTGTAGAGGGAGAGAAGGAGAACCTGCTCAGTGTCCTGGCCAATAGAGGCCCTCTGTGGAAGGAAGCGCTTCCTGGCCCCCTTTGGGCGGGCCCCTGCACTTGGCCTTGTAAACATCACAGGGCTCCCCACTGCCCTCAGGGCGAGAAACAAGACTCTGAGCAGCCTCCAAGGCCTGGCATGGGCTGCTGCTGCCCACCTCTCCTGGCTCACCCCCAACAGCTCTCTAGTTGTACTTGCTTCTGACCTTAGGGCCTTTGCACATGCTTCCCTTCCTCTTCTTCGCATGCACTGCCCCTCCCTCCTCCATGGATCAACCCTCCCGGTATTGCAAGCCTTGGCTTACATGTGACTTCACACAGGAAGAGTTCTTGAAGTCTCCCTGAATACTGCCACATGGTGTCATGTCACTTTGTACCTCTTAGCACTTTTCCCAATTGCAGTTAGATAATTAGGATGATCATTTGTTCACTGAAGCCTTTCCTACCAGACTTTGACCTCCAAGAGGGAGGGGCCACATGTAGCTATTCCTGCTGTGACCCCAGCATCGAACACAGTTCCAGGCCCCAGGAAGCCCTCGGTCAACAACTGGTGACTCTGTGTCTCCTCCTGATTGACACCCTACATTCTCCCAGGGGCAGGAACCACATCTTCTCTTTTTCTAGTGACTCGGTCCATGGTAAGCCCTCCACAGTGACTGGCAGTGACTTTCAAGCATGTTCAGGTCCTGAGACTCGGCAGCTCAAACTCCAGGAGTTATTGGGGTCCCTGTAAAAGGCTAGTAGTGGGGGCCATAAATATGGTAAATGCAATCCAGTCCCTCATATCAGGCTCCTAAATGTAATAAAACCTGAACATCACCTTCTCCCTGCAGCGTGCCCTTCTAGTTTAATATAGAATAATCTGAGTTTTAACCTTAACTCTGACACTGAATTGTTCTAAAATAGGGATAAGTTATTGAAGCCCGCGGAGCCTCGTTTTGTCCTTCTAAATTGGAGGTAATGAGACCTACTTCATGTGTTGTTCATTTGTTCCTCTGAATTCAATTATTATTTGCTGCAGATCCTGCAATCTTGATGCTAGGTGCTGGGGCTGCAGTGATAAACAAATAGACAAGGTCCCTGCCTTCAGAGGCTGGGAGTCTAGTGCCAGGGATAAACTAGATTTAGTCAACCATCACAAAAAGAAATGTTAGGCAACCACAGCAGTGGTCCAGAGAGATAATGGGCCAGACCTTAGGTGGCATGGAGTGAGGAAGGTTGGTCGATCAAAGATTGAATGATAGGCGAGGCAGCTAGCACACCGTAGGTGCTCAGGAAAGGCTAGCTTTTTGGCAGGGCAGAGTCTTTACCCAGAAATGCTGGCCCAGAAAGGATTAACTGGAAAGA